GTACCCCCCACATATCCCCCCCCCCCCCCCCGAAAAATGCGTGAAAGCAATAATTGGTTCGTAAATTCCATCGACTTTCGAATTCCTTTCGGAGCCAAATTATTGCTTCCGATATATATATGCAGGAAAAAAAAAGCCCCAGCAATTATCAATTCCGGCGAAACATCATAATCATCGTCGTTCGGGGCATTAAGAGGAATGTTGGAAAACCCCACTTTGTAACCCAAACTTTCGTACCCGATTCCCGCATCATCACTCATCTCCGCCTTACGCCTAACCAGCATTTATCGCGGGTTTCTTTCAGGCAAAATATATAAGGCGATGCCACCCACACCGTTTTTCGGGGGTTCCGGATTGTTTACCCTGCGTATTTTTTTAAAATTATTATCTAGGAGGATTTTCGGGAAATTCCACTTGTTTTGCTTGAAGAATTTGAGAAAGGAAAACAGTTTGAGGATCTCGAGAGGGAAACTCAAAACTTTGGTTTCTTGTGGTTGGCAGGATTGAATTAAGCAAGAGAAAATTTTGAGATTCAAAGGAAGACTTGCTGAACGGATTTTCAAAATAAACCGGCATTTCGAAAAAATCTGGTTAATCCGGGAAATGTTTCGACCGAATCTCGATTCAAAGGTTTTCCGGTTCATAAAATACTTATAAATACAATAAATGAATACATAAATACAATTCAAAAATATAAATACAATTCAGTTGATCCAGAGTCGTGATACAGTACTGTATATTCCGGCTAAATACAGCATATAATATCTTATTGTTTTCACGATTTTTATTGACGCTTTTACGAGCAATATACGCAAATCTGAAGATAAATTCGTTTCATTCAAGGGCTTTATTGAATGAAATGACTTTACAGTATTTTGATCAGTAAAGAATTTTTTAGCAAGACGTAGATTTTGAAAGATTGAAAAAATGATATAGGTTTTTGAGATGAAATAAAATTTCAGAAATTCAGTGCTTCGAAAAAGATTGTACGTTTTTCCGGGATACTGAATCAGAAATACCTAAAAATAATTCCCGAAAGTCAAATTTTAAATTTGTATCATCGGATCAAATCCATTTCTCGCGAAAATCCAGAACACACGGAACTTCGATTTTCAAACGAGGTTTTTATTTTTTTAACTTTAAAAGATGAAGAAATTACGCAGTACAGCAATTGGGGGGAACATTTTCGACCAACATAACTTTAGTGCATATGTTGATGTCAATTTTTAGGGAATGTTCAAATAAAATTTTTTTAGCCGAAAACAAAATAATCTACGATTTTATCAAAGTTCTGCAGCTTTCCTCAAAATAATCCAGTTTTGCATCGTTGCAGAAAATATAATATCAATTTAAAAAAAAAACAGAAAAATTTGAAAATCTCGTCATCGTGGATTACGAAATTAATTTTCAGACTTATGCGATTCGAAGTTTTTCAACTGAGTTCCACACGACGAGTGGAAGAGAAGGGACTATTTCAGAACAAATAGAAATGCAAGTGGATTCAAATTTCCAGATTATTATTATCCCAGATGAAGATTTGGCGGACATGTTTGAATCGTAAATGAATGACGCAAAAAAATATATAATTCAAGCATCACTAGAATACAAATTACCCCCCCCCCCCCCCAATTATAATAATCCATGGAATTCTTTTCCTGATCCTGACTCAGAAACTTTCGCAATAATTTTCCTCAAAGATCCAGGATTCTAATTTAAAAACTTGAGCAAATTTCTTCCGAGAATCCAGAAATTGACTAGGTTATATAATATTATTCACAATGAGTCGGGCTTTCGTCAGTTGCAAAATCGACGATTCGGTGAAAATCATGTGTACGGCGAGACCCTGAGATGCGGACGTAATTGATGCATTAAGAGTGTCCCTAAGTAGAAATGTCCCTAAGTCGAGTCTCATTTTTCCTTAGAATTACATTATATAATTTTTAATCGGTATTTAATGGACAAACACGCCATAATTTCATGAAAATAAAAATTGTCTCCCAATTGAAACGGATTCCAATCAATATATTTCAACACAATATTGACATTTGGGAAATGCAATACTGATACTTCTGTACAGTACATAGAAATGTTGGAATTCTCTGCAAAAATAACATTCAGGTGAAAAAGAAAGAAGGAAGTCCCTTTATGCTGGAGGTAATTTTTTTTTTATTAGCTATATGGATGGTAAATTTATGAGAGAAATGCCCAAGAACTTTTCTTACATCAAATTTAGGGTTCGAAATATCTGTTTCTTGCAATTTGGCCTGAAACTTATTTGCAGTTTTATCACAAAGTATCCCTATATGCCTAGTCAGTGTCCTCATGTCGGGCCTTTATTATTAATTTTTTATGGTAAAATAAGTGTCCCTATGTCGAGGTGTCTGCATCATGTCGGGAGTCTCACTGTAAATTGAGCGATACGCGTGCGTCGTCTGCAAAAATAAATGAAACTAAAAGACAACCTCGATACTCCTCGCAATTAAGAGTCTCAAATTACCGCTAATTGGAAGTGGATTTTTCGAAAAGTTCAGCAACCAACCTTCGTCGGACTCATCCTCGCAATCAGGATTCCCGTCTCGAACCTTATCCGGGGGGACACAAGTGCTTCTGTCGGCACAAATAAACCAGCTTTCCTCGCAGCCTGAAAAAGGAAATTCCCTCCGATTTCAGTACAAAATATGCTGTATTTTCCCGCAAGGAAGAGACCAAAAAAAAAAAAAATAGCAAGCTAGGTTCAACTTTCTGCCAAATTTATAGTTCCTCGCCGGAAGCCAGCACCCAAAAAAAGAAAAAAAATGCTGAATTTTTCGTCAGACTGAAGAGGCTCAACTTTCTGCAAAATTTAATTCGCCTCGTCGAAAGCGAGAGAACGCAGAGGTGAAATGCGTCAGGATCTCGAGCGGAAAGGATTAAAATTTTGAAAATGAAAAAAAAAGTGCGGATATATAAAAATATGAGTTTTTTTTTTCTTCTTCTTCTTATGGGCAATTGACGATCTGAGCGAGGAACAGTTTGGATTTGAAATCCATCATGAAATCGCTTCATCCGCGATTCGAGAAAGTAAAGCCACTTTCCAAAGTGAGGCGATTTTCTCTTCATATATACAAGAGCCACTGGTTTGGTCGGAATTCAGGGGTGACCCACTTTTTTTTTTTTTTCCTTGCCTCGGATTGACGTCTTCCATAAATCCTTGGCTTGATTACGGGTTTTCAAACAACAACAACACAAGCAGTAACTTCTCCATGAAATGAGTTATTTGAATTTGCAGAAAACACGTACGTCGCAAATTTTTGCAAGATATACGAGAGGTTGGTACATTTTTACAGGACAACGACGTGGTTTTTCATAGTTTTATTTTCCTGGCTCGAGTTTATGTGAGTTATCATAAGCCTGTAACTCGAGGTCAGTCAACACTAAATTTTTATCCTCACATATATTGTTACCCAAAGGCAAACTTGGGCGAAATGTTTATTTTTTAATCCGCAGGAAACGTGGTGAAACTTTGTGAGCCGTCTCGGAAAGCTCCAAGAATTTTCTAGAGAACAGCAAGACAGTTATTTACATAAATGTTTCACTTTGTCCAAGTATATATGAACAGTATACGCATTATACTTGCTAAGAAATGAATCAATCTCATTGATTGTTATGAATATAAATGAATAAATGAAACTAAATAGTTTGGTCGGGCAACAATCCGGGGTGAAACTTCACCCTATTATAATGTTGTTGTACATTAATTTGTATTTGAAATAAACACACTTTAAATCTTGCAAATTCTCTTGAGTATCCAAGTACAATAGCCAGGATGGAATGAGTCGAAAAACAGTGAAAGTGAAAACAAGAAAATTATCTTTCAAGGATAAATAAAATTTTTGCAGAATATAAACCGTTCGAGTTTTCCTGAAATTTGGCAATGATGCAAAACCTTGCTGGAGGTTTGAGAATATGCGTAAGAACCAGAGTTTCTCCCGGTTCTCACAAATATATGCAGGGATGAGTTTTTGGAGAATGCTGATTCTCATCTTGGATAATTTAGCGTGACAAATTATACCTTTGCCATTTATGTTTGCTACATTAATTACCACAATCATATAACTTATTTTTGCGAAATTTCAACATGGGATGTGAAAATCCAGTCATACCTCTTCAGGTAAAATGTCGAGGAACCAGAAGAAAAAATCGACTCATTGAGGTTTTGAGTTGGCAAAAAAGCATTTTTTATTGCGGAGAAGAAAGAATAATTCCAGGAAATTTTAATTGTTGATATTCTGGGCCTTGAATTGTTTCTTAAATGAATTGAAAGATTGCTGAACATGGAGGAAATAAATTTTAATGCTTTTATCTTTCCTACGTCAGTAAATGATAGCCAAATGAGGCCTCTAGAAAATTAAACTTGTAGATGTTTTAGGGATGAGGAAAACTTTCGTAATAGAAGAGTTTTAATGCAATATTATTTCTAAGGAAATTCAGACAAAGACTTGACAATAATCTGACAAAAGTAAGTTCGAGTTATTGCGGTCCATCAAGTGAAAATCAAACAACAATTAAGTAATTAACTCAATTTGAGGTGCAATGAAAAAGGAACCAATAGCCCTAACGTTAGAAGTTCACCGTTCAAGCGGAATAGGTGTCGCCCCTGTCTCACGTTCGGCGTTTTTCAAAATCCTGAATTTTTTTCGAACAGCAAAATAAATACTTGTCTTCATATGAACTCCAGACTTTCAGAATTCTCGAAGCCCGTGTCAAACAACCATGTTATAAGGACACATTGTCGATGTTTTTCGACAGTTCTCATGAAAATAAAATGCGAAATTAAAAAAAAAAATCCCCTGAGCGATAACGGTTTCATGAATATTATAAAGGTGCAGCACATCATCATTATCATCATCAGCTGTGTCTATAAACTCTATAAATGGGAAATCCTTCCTTTATTTCGCATGAACCCAGTTTTCTTCCATCACACTTAAATTCCCACGACGGGCGTTTACAGCTAAAAATAAAAAATAAAACCGCAAGGCTGGAAAATTTCTGTTGTGGGTTTTTATAGCTTCAACTGAGCAGCAATATCCGTGCCAGGCAAACTCGGACGTTGTGTCACGACCGATTCCCGTTGCCTGACTGGATTATTATACCGAGTCCCTCGACTTCATTGAGGGACACAAAATAGGGAAAGACAAATATACAAAAAAAGAAATATTTCAACATTTTTTTTTTTCAATTTCCCAGATTTTTTTCTGTGCGTTTTCGGAACGAATTTAACGATTTTTCACAGAAGTCACGGGGAACTCGTGATTCGTACCACGAACAAATCGTACAACGAACGTATAGATCTTATACGAATTACGTTCGTTGTATGAGGTATTATTGCATGCAATTCAGCAGTAATAATGTTTTACAAAAAAAATCAAGTGCTGATTCATGAGAAGGAAATATATACTGACCTTCGTCGCTTCCGTCGCTGCAATCGACGTTTCCGTCGCCAACTTGGGAAGGATGAATGCATTTCGGTTGACCCGAACGACATCTGGCGCAATCTGGAAATATTCCAAAGGAAAATCCGACAAAATCAGCAAATTTCTCACGATTATCCCAAGAACTATCATCTCAAAATTCCGACATAATTCACGCGAAATTTAAACATCTCGGCAGCGAGTCTTGGCACAAAAAAAAAATAAAGTCCCTTCAAAAAATCGAGAAAAAAAAACCAACGTTGGTAGTTCTGAAATTAAAGTTTATGAGTTTCTAAAGTACTGTATTCGACTTCAGCGAAGCTTCACTTTAAAATTTCAGGAGTCCAAGCAATTTGAATGAGATGCTTTTTTTGTAATCATTCCAAACAAAAAATAACCTGGCAGCACTTTAATTCGGGGTGCAATGAAATGGGAACCAATTCCTTCACGCACGAGGTTCAGAGCATCACATGCGCTCCGGTCAACTAGGTGTCACCCCTGTCTACGTTTGGCATTTTAAAATTCCAGCATACAGTACTGTATTGTACAGCAAAGGTTCCACTGTACAGTACAGTATATTTTTCTTCTCAGCATGGACAACAGAATTTCAGGATAAAAAGGAGCATAAAATGTTCATTTTTTTTTTTTTGAAAGGGACTTCAAAAAATTTAGATAGTAAGAGGTTCAACTGCTGCAAATTATCAACTTTATGATCGACCCTCACGAGGCGTGAGGAGGTTTTATACAGAGAGCCAATCAAGCAAACAAGTCCGCGGTTGTTTCGGTAAAGCTCGCAATAAATGAAAAAAAGATGAAAAAAGCCCCACAAATTTGTGAAATTCAGAATTAAAAAAAAATAAAAACAAAAATGCTTAGCATTACCAGCAGGAAGATAACAGGAACCAAACCGAACGGTGTCATCATCCCTTCGACTTCCGACCTCTTGCCAAAGCAACATGAGGGGGGGGGGGGGAAACACCGCATGTGCACATACTGTACGTATATACGACGTCGCATTCAATTCCCTCAACCTTTGGAAACCCCGCAATTTTCCCGGCCAAACAATACCCTGTTCCCACAACGCATCATCTCCCCCCCCCCCCCCCCCCACAACACCCTCTTCCCCCACCGCCTCCCCCCCCCCCCCCCCCCCCAAGAAAAACTACCCTTCATTCTTTATTTTTTTCACTTTTCAGTGGTAATAAGAAAAGCGAGAAAACGCCGACCGAAGTTACTTAATTGAGCCGGCAATTAAAGCACCGCGAATAACATGAAACCTATTCAGCATCAGCGCAACGAAACGGAAGTTTTTGTGCAAACAATAGCGATTTTTTTTGGGTAATACAAAAGATTTTCCGCAAGCCACAAAAAAAGGGAGATTTTCTCAAGACTTCCTTTGTGTGCTGTTTGGAAGATTGTGAGGCATCCTCTCATTATTATGCAATCTAGCGTCGGTTTTCAGGATTTATTTCCCTTTTCAAGAGTTTCAAGGAACAACAAAAGCCTCGGATTGTCACGGGATTGGAATATTGAACCGAAAATTAGTTTCGAGTTTTTATTATTATTTTTAACTCGGAATAGTTTCCATCACTTGCCATTCAATACGCAATTGTCAAAAACGTGATTGCTTCTGTTTGTCATATTCGGATTGGATTTCTTTCAATTATTCAAGCGAATTTTTAGATGACCACTGATGATCAAAAAAAACAAATTTAGGCAATGAAAAAGCAAATATTACTTGAGGTGACACCTGTCCGTCATTCCAGTAGACAAACTCAGGGTTATGATCTCCAAGAATGAGAAATTGATGACACCATAAACAATATTATACAAAAATCTGCTTTTAATATGTAGAAAGCCTGAGAAGAAGATGCGAAGAGACATCAGAAGTGATTCTATCACTGATGTCCCTTCTTGTGTGATTTAATTTGTCTATTCCTAGATGTCGCTCATATTCTGTAACATATGGGGCCTCGATAAATAGTTAGGGAATCAGGTGACATCTTGCTATTGTGGAATGTACGCCTAATCTTTTCATTGAAATTCCATCAATTCATAAAAACATAAAAATTCAGTGAGCAGTTTCAAGTGACTCTCTTTCTTTCCATTCTTGCGTTCTGTCAGGGCAATGCTTTGACAAATGCTTAAAAAAAGAGAAATACAAAAGAAGATACGTTTTCAATTAATCAGATCACGTTCCATCAGTCTGCGTAAATTAAAATGTGACAAAGTTGAGTTTTGAATTCTGAATAATAGCTTACTTTGATTTTTACTAATCTGCACTAAATTTTGCAGAAGCTCAAAACATCAGTGTGGTATTCCAGAGACTAGCTTCAGATATTCAAGTGGAAAGATTTGCGAATTTCCAGCACGTAATATATTCCTTGAAGAACTGCCACATTAAAAAAAAAAAATGCATGCAATAAATTAAGCCGTGTTAAAGACACTTTCCTCGTGATTTATATTCAGCTCAAGGAACTGAACTTCATCGCGGATTAATCAGCCCGTTGATTCCTTATAATAGATCACAAATCAAGTCTAAAAAGAGGCGCTTCAACTTTTTTTTTTTTTTTAATGAGGAACCACTTTCATTATAGCGTCGGATAATGATGACCAGGTCAGTTCCGTTTAATGACTTGTTCCTTCCAATACCGGGCTTCCGAAAAAGGGAACTTTCAAGAACCTGCGCTGAACCTTCACTTGCAATGTGATTAAACCCTAGTGTCATCATTATTCATTTCTGAATTATTTTTACCAGCGAAAAAAAGGTTTAAAAAATAAAGTAGAGTTCGGTTCGAGGAATACATTTTTCCGGGAACTCCATCAGTTCCCACGAGTTCATCGTTCGACGATCATTTCGCAAATTCAGACTTCCGATTCATTACGTATTCACGAACCAATTTCAAGCATGACGTATGAGGATTTTTTTTCTTTCTCATGCAGTGCCGACGTTTTTCATTTTTTTTCATTTTTGCAGGCATGATTTCCTCTTGAAATTGTTGAAATCGCTTTTGTTTCATTGGCCACGTATAACGAGAGATTCGCGTGACTGTCGGCTTCACAGTGACCGACCAACAGTTGGTCTATTGGGGTTGCTTTCAACACATTCCTTCATTTTTTAAGGACAATGATTTACGCATTAGTTATAATTTTTTTTTCTTTTTTGTTTGTTTGTTGTTGAAAGAAACATTCGTTGGGTGAATGTCGTAATTGGACGAAGGGTGAGGTTGCTGCTCAATCATTCTGAAGCGCGGATTTTTTTTCCCCCTCGTGATTTTTCTCATTCCATTTCAACATGGGAATTTCAAAGAAATCTAACTGGCTTTTCTCGCTGAATATTCTTGGTATACGAAGAAAACACGCAAAAAAAATGGCAGGAGGTGAGAAAATGCAGTAAATAAGGCGATCGATCGATTTTCGAATAACTTCTGCATCACTGCGCGAATTTTATTTTATTGCAACAAAATAAAATTAATAACGATATTAAATCCATTTATTTCTTTATTATTGTAATAAGAAATAAGCGGGTTTTTAATTATTCAGTTTCTGCTGTTGAAAAAAATGAATTTCATTATTTGAAGATGAACATTTCTGTGTGAATGTGCGCAGACGGTTCTTTTCTGCAAAATATGTATGAAAAATCCCCGGATTGACTTTTATTTTCCAAGTTTCCGCTGCTCATCAATCATTTCGTATTTTAAGGGGTTTTCGCTGGAATATTTCTCATTCCAACACGGACATTTTTCTAGCGATTTTCGCTCAAGCATTTTTTTGTTTGTTTTTTTAGAAAAGACTCGGACACACAAGGAAACATCCGTAATTCCAGAAAACAGGAAAACTTTTCCAGGATGATTCGGAAGCTGCACTTTTTTAAAATTCATTTTCTTTTCAACAGTGATGAAAAGTTAGAGGATAAATTTCTATAGCTCGTTGACAGCTTAATTTCTCGCTAGTCGGACAGTTTCTTCTCCCGTTTTTTGACGAGAATACAAGTTTGAGGTACACCGCAGAACTTGTGCCAAAATTTGGGGGAGGGAAATACTTCCTGTCACACAAGAAAAAAAGAGCCCGGGGAGTAAAACCACAAAAGCCACGTGCCTGGAAGATACAGGAAACCGTGTTTGTAACTCGAACCCGTTGAAACCACGGGTTTCCTGTTTTTTTCTTGCAGTTTACTGTACCAGCAATTCTATTCCACGGGAAATAAGTCCGAGTATTCCATTCAAATATTTCAATGGATTCCGGAACAGTCGACAACAAAAACCGATGAACTCTTACGGAGCATATTTTCGAGTTGCGCAATTGTTGACTAGAAGATTCAAGAAAACTTGAGAAAAAAGTTCCAAAATCGTTCGATAAACTAGGTTCAGTAAAAAATTGAGGGCTAAAAAAAGGTGATCCTGTAACAGTAACTTTTTATTAACTTGATAAAAATCCTCACGAACTTCAGACAGTCGAAATATTTGAATTCATACCAAAGTAATGCCCTGAAATATTCAAATTTTGTATTACCCACAAAATACACTGCTTCTAACGAAAACAGAAATCCAACGGACAATTATGCGAGTATTTTCGTTCTGATTCTGTTTTCGTGAAGTTCGAAATAAAATAGAAAAAAAATTGTGAAAGCTCTTTTTTCCTGGGTAAATTCTTCAACAGTGTAGCATTACACCAAACTTTGAAAATCCCATCTACCTTCAGGGCTTCAGTAAAAAAAATTTGAAACATTTTTGCACAGTTTCAACTTCCGGAAATCTGGACCTTTTGAGAAAATAATCGTCAAAAGATTGAAATTACGATACTATTGTTTCACTCAAGTCTTGAGCGCTTTAGTAGCGTTTTTAGGCTGAATTAAATACAAAATATACATACATTCGGCATTTTTCTATTGGATTACCAATTTTTGAGAAAGAATCAGGAGGAAGAGTGCCTAAAAAACTCATAATTCGACAATGTGCGAAGTAATCTTGAATAATACGAAACTCCGTCGTCGCATTAGTCGAGGAAATTAAAACAATGTTAACTGTCCAAACATCTCAAGTTGTTTACTCGCAGATATTCAGAGAAAAATATTGTAATTGCAATCATAAGCCCGTCAACAAGTCCAGGGAAAAAAAAATCCTCGTTATTCCGTTCAGGCGTTTTCCACAATA